TCGGGAGAGCATTGGATAACTGCACGAGGCACGGCAAATTCTAAATATATGCTTGAAGCTGTCGCGCAGTCCATTCAACACCAGTGACGATGTAACGCGCCGAAGATCACTTACTGTGATTCCGTGGCTGGCGGCAAGGTGACCTGCGGAAAGACGTGAGTTCCCCTTGTCCATGGTTCACTGGGTTTGATCGGATCTGAGATATTGTGAAGGAACATGGTGTCATAAGTGCCTTTTCTGCGTTTCTTCGACGGGATATACCGCGAATGATGTCACGTCTGGCAGCCGGGCGTTCCAGACCACCTTCGCTTGTGACGATATCGTCATCTGGGGTGAGTGTGCAGTGTGCTTCCATAGTCTGGTCGCGAGCTTGCGAGGGCAGCCACTCTTATCCTTCTATTGATAATCCTTAATCAAGCAGTTCCGAAAGCCACTTCGCTCAAGAGGTTCCCCATGATGCCAAATGTGTTGCTGGGTGGCCTGGCCCCTCTCCGTCATGTTTAATCCCTCCTGCTGCGTGATTTTTGCAATTCTTAGGTCACCTTCAAAGGCGAGTAGGTAAAAGACGGTTCCGAATCTACTGACCCACTATATTACCCCTCCGATGTCCGAAGCGTAATACAGCGTGATGCCAAAGGCGATAGCTAGAACAATAATAACGCTTCTCATGATGGCCTTCCCCAAGTGTGCCAGCCGAAGCTTTATAATGTCAGGATGATCCTAGCACGAGAGAGAGCATGAAGCCCAAACTGGTGATGCAACAACCAACAACCAACAGTGGTTTGAGGAATGAAGCACCAACGTCTGATGTGAACGCGACATTTCCATCTTGAGAGACGTATTTAGGACGTCCACATATGACCTGAGGCCCATAGCGGCCCGGGTGACTAAAATGCGTTCAGTCCCGATCCATCTAAAAACGCCCTCGCGGATGGCCATGAAGATACAAGTAAAGACTCGCTATGTAACAGTCTCTTTTGTCAGGTAATGCTGGGTGTAGAAATATGGAGAAGGCGATTAACAATCTATCTTCCGAGGCAGTATCTTGGTAGACACCAAAGTAACATTTAGCCAAGCATATTCTAACAACGTCATGGACTCATCCTTCTTTACCGTCCAAATTTACGACTCGAAGTTGATTGCACCAGCTGCCCAGAGACAACCGTTTGGACATTCATGCGAGTGTGAGAGAGGGTCGGGGCCCTTCCACTAGTGTCCGAGCGCTTCTTATACTCTTGACAATGAGATTCTCGGTAGGCACATCGCACTGTGAAACGCAGACACTACATATGTCTTTCTCTGAAAGGAGGAGCAAGGACTGGGAATACACACGTGTGCTCACCAGTTCTGCACGACTCTCCCTATGGTTGTGACGGGAGTCTATTCTCAGAGATGGCTGACTGCAGCCTACAGTGGGTGTAAATCATGTGGTCTACTATTCAGCGACGCGCGCTTGGACGTTGCAGCTGTTCGCAGTTGCTGACCATACTACTAGCTGTGACCCTGCAAGAATGCCGTGCAACCTCATACTAAAGGGGCTGCCCGGCATTGCCATGACGTCGCTAACAGGCGTCAGCAAGTCATCTCGATGGATGCATTACATATACTTATCAAAATCTTGAGCTGCAGGGTCCCATAGGGTTCGTGCCCTTGCGATTGGAGGATAGATGCCCGATGACACGATAACAGTTGCCTCGTTAGGGAAATTTAAATAGTCAACTGTTCGGCTTGCGTGGTTGACAGTAGGCTTGAAGGAAAGAAGATCCAATGTCTGCCCTGCAACATCTGTTCCAAATATTGTTATTACGCATACGGGAGATAGCTTACTTAAGGAAGCGAAGGTTAAGTTATTGATCCGAATGTGGCGTTGCTGCTCATTGTGCCTCTCGGCCAGTCTGACCCACAATGTCATATTGTTTTGTTTTCTGTCTGAGTGGGAAAAATTGTTCGAGATCAGAATTTGCAAGTAGTGCTTGATACTCGTTGACATGAGTGATCAGTGGTCATGGACACTGGAGTAGATTTAAATGACGATTTAAATCTAGTTTCCTGATTTTGGCATGAAAGCAGAGCACGTCGATTGTTGACGATTTCATCACCATGGAGGCATCTACGAAACAGAGACTCAACATTGTCTGCTGTTCGTTCAATTTGAAGCCGGGGTTGATGCCCGCACGCTCCTACAGCATAGATTAGTCCGAGAATATTTGTACTTCTGCACACGCGTTCGACACAAGAATAATTCATACACATATTTCCAATAAGTCACATCTAATCCAGCACGAGTGAATATTGGCCTCGACAGAATTTAACGGAACAAGTGGTTCACGTGTCCCCGCCAGCTACGGATGGTTTCCATTCATTCCTCGGCGATATATCATCAGGCGCATCACCACGAACATCGAACTTCCGACGAGGGAGACGAGCTAGATGTAAATGTTAGCACAAGGCTTGTGCAAGTGCAGGAACAATGTGAAATACTCACCCCACTGAAGAGCGACGGTATCCACCACCTATATTGAGAACCAAGCAAAGCGCCTGATATTGGTCCGCCTAAAAATATTGGTTCAATGGCGGATAAAGGCCGGAAAGCAACTACTCACCGAGTAATCCGCTAAAAGCTGACCGTTTGCGCATTATCAAAAGTTCCGAGACAGAGCCAGATGATACATACAAGTGAAGGCAAAACATATGCCCATTCGCGCTCTGCATATGAGGGTCAACATCACCGGAATGCAAATGTGGGGGGGAGCCAACCCTAGCTCAGACAAATTGGGCGTGAACTCAGTCACCAATGGGACTATTAGCGCGATGTCTTGGAAAGTCAGTGCCAGGAATTACACGAGCTGCAGTGACATACAAACACCAGAAAAGTAGCCATAAGCAAGTGCTAACACAACCACACTGGCCACGTCACTCAGAGCTGTCATGGACATTATGATGGCACTGCATGCAACAGTGGATGCGATCGTGAAGTTCAACACCCCCGTGTACGTTGCAATCATTCCTGCCGTGCAGCGGCCGACGACACAGGTAGCATTCATGATCACAAGCTGAATCAGGTTAAGAGTCGACAACGGACGATAAAATATTGAACGTACGGAGTAGAACGAGAAATGTACGTCGATCCCATGTTTGATAGAGTCCAGTTGTAAGTAGAATACGGGGAAGAAATAGCCGGTCTGACACAGCAGGATCCTAGGCATGATCAGTTCCGAGGACTTCGAGTTGGTTCATGTGGATGCCAAAGAGAACCTACCCAACGGTCATGAGGATGAAGAGAACCTCGCGAGAGCATTTTCGCGCCATTGCGGTATAACTGACACTCGGTACAGGCAGTTCTCTTGTGCGCATGAACAAACAGGCGATCAATAACAGAGCACTGACAAAGCCCGCACTGACACAAACGCCTCTTGCAAAGCCAACAGTACCATTCAAAAGGTGATTGAGCATGATCGGATGAATCATGGAACCAAGTGGTGTACCGGATGTGACGAGAGACATAACCAGCGTGCGTCTTCTGGAGAAGTGGCGAGAGGCGACTGCCAAAGAGGGACCATACGTTAGGCCTATCCCAATCCCAGAAAGGACACCTTGAACCATGAAGATCTAGTCGCCTCGTATAGGTAGCCCGTCCACAGAATTACCAGGGCTGCTCACCATGTAGAACTGACCAGGCTTAGCAAAGGACAACGCGAACAAGGACAGCGATTGGAGCGACGACCCCACGATCACCAAATGATAGCTATTGACAATCAGCGTGATAAAAAACCGACCATGAATGTTATGGAAAGTTGAAACTTACAACCACCCTCTGTCGTACAGCGGACCTGAGATCAATGTGACATTGACTGCGAGGAACGAGGTCAATGCGCCAATCCATCTGACACTGACTGAGACCAAAATTTGCAGAGCAAAAGCATATTGACTCACGATATTGCAGATGGTGGATAGTTGGTCAGATAAATTCGTGTGTAATAATCTTCCGAGGTCGTTTATCAACTTTGGATATATATAATCGCGCGACTGCTGCGTACCTTGATAAATTCCAAAAGATGCTATGTATCTGTTCAACTGCTATTGACTGACATGCCCCGAACGAACAGAGAGAACCAACCCAAAACCACAAAATTGCATGAGGAAACTAGGCATCATCGTGATTGTTGAACACACAACATACGGGTATCATTTGAGACGTGGCTTACCACCCAAAAACAGTCCCCCAGGCCCGAAACCCGCCATCCGGAGGGCCTGATTGTGAACAAGCTGTTTGGGAATTAGATGACGGTATAGGTCCTAGCTCTTCCGGATCATCTAATTTCTTGTTTGTTGTGAACATATTATGGGTTGCGGACTTCATTGACATGGAAGCAAATGGGAATAAAACGCTATGGGCCAGCAAATGCTGGGCTTACGGATTATAAGACCAATGTTTGTCTTAACCCTGCAAGAGCGCTTCGTGATAAAGGGGTTACGCAGTAGGAGGTGCATTACATCACTGACAGGGCCCGTCAGCAAAATCTTGATAGCAATCAAATGCACGATGAAAGAACCCGTATGGGTCTCTCATGCCCCATCCCTGTGATAGTCGACACCTGATGACATGATAACAGCTGTCTTGTTTGTCAGGGATACGCAGGACTATCGATCGCGATTGTTCGGATTGTGTGGTTGACAGCGGGCTAGGAGACAATTATGTATTCACTTTGTCACATGTGGACAGTGGTTACGCATACCAATGACTACTTGGTCACGCTGCATCAGTAAATTCACACATTAGTGGTATTCAAAGTAAAACTAGGGGTCGGCGTTGCCGACTTGTGACCGTGCGGAGCGATTCGCACTTTGTTGTTTCCTGTTGGGCTGTTGCTCCCACAATCACCTTTTTTTTTCATCAGTCTTTGACATGGCACACGTCAAGGTCATATTGCGCAATATAAATACAGATCATTTGTAGGAACAGTGAAATTTTTATTAAGCTTTGGACAACTTGGATGAACTCACTTCTTCATTATGACACGCTCTTTTTGATATGGGTTGTCCTGATAAATCTGTGTCTCCACTTGGATGTGCGCATTTGTAGTTTGAAGGGACATGAATTGGACCAAGTTTGAGTATTGTTACCTTTTCCGCTGTGGCTTGGAAGCTATCGAATTCTTTAATGTGCCAGTGTTGGATGTGGAATTGAACTTCAACAATAGCTCCATTCAGAATCTCGTTGGCATGTTCAGGTTGTACTAGGTGGTCGTTGTGGTAGAGGGGAAGTGGATGTGCTGCGAACTTGTATTTAATGGTATTGAAATCTTTAGCAAAATCATCCAAAATCAGCCAGTTTTTAGTTTCTTCATCCATCTCTGGTGCGTTCTCTGCTCTTTGTCTGTGGGGAGAGTCAGGAAGCAATTCATCCTGTAGATTACTTTCAACACAAATGTGCATGGTTAGAGCATGATGGTCATACCTGAGTTACGAATACATTTGTAGCAAGACGCAACATCTTGCCTGTCACATCCTCAATAATCATGTTTTTGTGCTCTTTCATCTTACCCACTTCATTTTGTAATGTCTCCAAGTGCTGCACTGCTGTCGCGAAATCAGTGGACAGTTCAGGGTTAGATGGGCGAGAAATGTGGAATTGATATTTGGCTTTCTCTAGTAGACTTGAGCCTTTGGCAAAGTGTTACAATAACGTCTACCCCTATCTCTTTTCTTCACTTCACCTGTGTATTACGTCATGACCACGCCTTGTTGCACCATCATTAGGCTAAACTTTCACCATATCTGTATTACATCACGACTGCAGCAGCTGTCGCTAGGTGACTCACTTATCTCTGACTCGTCTTGATGACGACTACGTACCGGCCCTAAAGCACAAGTACCTATAAAAGCTTGGTCATGTACTTAGGAGATCTTCACTTTAATCTTACTAGGTTTTACCTGAACTATCCTTCACTTAGGACCTCCAATCCTAAGTCATCTGATAACCAATATTCAAGCCAGAGACACTCTCTCTGACTTGTCTTAAGAACCTTACATTTGTAAGGCCTTGATCCAGCTTCAGGCGTACTCTTATTGAGTACCTGTCGTCACGCCCATCCTAGTCCGCCGTAACAAAAGATTAAAGTCTCCCATCGACCCTCTCCATCAGAGAGGTTACAGATCCCAGAAAGAACTCAGTGAGAGAATGATAACGTTCCCCTGAACCAGAAACATCGCTTGACCAGACGCTCAGGATGTCCACCATCCCCAACACCCCAGAATTGAAAGCCAGAGCTCCCTCCACCTATGATGGGAGTCCTCACCAGGCTCTACGATGGTTGTATGCTGTTAAAGCGTATTTTGCGCTCAACGCCACAATCTATAACACAGATGACAAGAAGGTCATAACTGCCCTTGCTTATATGACAGAAGGAAGTGCTATGGGTTGGGCACTTACTTTCTACACCGAAGTCGATAACTCCGCTGCCAAATCCTACGGAACCTTCGCGAACTTTGAAACTAAATTCAAAGAAGCCTTTGTGCTGGCCAATGCCATCGGTACCACCATGAACAAGCTTAGAACATTGAAACAGACGGGCGACCTTACCTCCTACGTTGCTGCTTTCAAGACCCTTGCTGCACAAGCCTCTGTGAAGCAAGACGCCGTCTTAATCACGTTCTTCAATGATGGATTAAAGAAGGGAATTGTTAACTCCATCTTTCAGATGGAGACCATCCCCACGGACTTCGACAAGTACATTGCTGCAGTCATTAGACTTGACAGCAACTACCAGAGGGGGGCCGCATATTGGTCCAATCACTGAACCGCCACCAGACCGTCGGGACAACGATATGTACCCAGACCTTCCATTGATTGACACGATCTGAACGCCATGGAAGTAGATCAGCTTACTGAAGCAGAAAGAAGTGACCATATGAGGAAAGGATTATGCTTCACATGTCACCAGAAGGGGCATATGACCAAAGCGTGCCCGCAGAAGAAGAAGGTCCCTGTTTGCAGAGAAGAAATAAGCGACAGCAACAAAGAAGATGAAGATACAACGATCTGTCGTCTCACCAAGGATTTTTGATGTGGAAGACTGGATTGATGTCAGTATCTTCTGATGTAACTATCAGACTTGTACAAAGTATTGGAACAAGAAAGGAACTTCGCATTCCTATTTCTCTCATCTCCAAAACTTGTCTGAAAACCGTCGAATCAACAGCTGTTGTAGACTCCGGCGCTGCCAGAATGTTTATCTCCAAAGAGTTTGTCAAAACCCATGGAATCCATACACACAAACTCTCGAAACCATTCCATGTCACTACTGCGGATGGAAGTTATGCAAGAGGGGGCGCTATCACCCGATATTGCGTCCTCATCGTTAAGATAGATGACTGATCTATGATCGGAAAGTTTAACATCACGCGGCTTGGCCGGCGTGATCAGATCTTACTAGGAATCCCTTGGCTCTGCGCCATGGATCCAGTAATTCGATGGAAAGCGGAAATGCTAGAACTCCCTAGGACGGAGAAGAGCGACCAGATTGAAGAAGAAGTTGATAAGGAATGGAAGAAGAATAAACTCCCTCCCCTTTTCCAGAAGAAAAAGCAGAAGACGGAACCGGCTCCAGTGGTAGCGCTGCCGAAAACCCCTGCGACACCGGTTGCATCACCAAGAGAACCAACACCCCGAGCCACCATCAAGGAAATCCCCGATGAAGAAACCCTGCCGAATCTTAACCCTATCCCTGACGATGATGAAGACTCTTTTGACACGAAAGAGGACGTATGGACCATGGACTATGAACCACCTGTACGCAAAATCTCCACCTACCATCTAGAAGATGATGAATTCCTGGTTGAATACTCCGTTGATGCCACCGAGCTCCGGGTAATCACCAACGTCTCATTGGACACCCCATTAACCAAGGACGGTACCAGCGTTGCAGAACGTCGACCTACGATTGCACCCTTGTTGCGGCCTACTGAATATATTAAAACCAGTAACAAAGCACAACAATTTGCGTTAGCCGCTGGACTTGAGCAACAGAAGAAGTCATTCGAAGAACTTGTCCCTCCCTACCTTCATGATTTTGCCAACATCTTCGCAAAAGATGGTCTAAATCAGTTACCCGCCTGAATGACCTGGCATAGATCACCGGATAGAAACTAAACCCGGTTTCATTCCTAAAACGTCCAAAGTGTACCCACTATCTGAAGTAGAATGCACAGCAGTCAAAGCGTTCATTGACGAAAATGTAAAGAAAGGATTCATCTCTGAGTCAAAGTCACCGCAGGCTAGCGGCTTCTTCTTCGTAGGAAAGAAGAGTGGAGATCTTCACCCTTGTCAGGACTACCGATACATCAACGAATGGACGGTCAAGAACGCCTACCCACTTCCGTTACCACTTTCCCTAGTTGCTAGGTTACATGGTGCCAAGTACTTCACTAAGATGGACGTTCGTTCGGGATATAACAACATTTGTATTCACCCTGAAGATCGATGGAAGGCCGCCTTTACCACTGAATACGGTCTTTTCGAACCAAATGTCATGTTTTTCGGTCTCTGCAACTCCCCCGCTACCTTTCAAGCATATATGAACAGAACGTTCCAACAAGAGATAAATGAAGGATGGCTCGTTATATATATGGACAACATCCTGATATTCTCTAAAGAACTTGATTCCCATCATGAATGAACACGACGCGTCCTGGAGAGAATTCGGAAAGAGAAGCTATTCCTCAAACCGGAGAAATGCACATTCAATGCTCAGGAAGTAGAGTACCTCAGAATGATAATTTGCCCCGGATGTGTGGCAATGGATGATGCTAAAACCAGTGGTATTCGAGACTGGCCTACCCCTACAACCATGAAAGAAGTTTGGTCATTCCTGGGATTCTGCAATTTCTATCGAAACTTCATCTCCCACTACTCTGACATCGCAAGACCCCTGATTGACCTCACCAAGAAAGACATCAAATTCCTGTGGACAGAACAGTGCATGACCACCTTCGCTACCTTGAAGGAATGCTTCTTGAAGCAACCAGTCCTTCAAAACCCCGATCCTAGCAGACAGTTCGCAGTCGTGACTGATGCATCCCTCGTCGCTATGGGGGCGGTACTACTTCAAACTGATGATAATGGAGTCTATTATCCATGTGGATATTTGTCACAAACCTTGAACCCCGCAGAACGCAACTACCAGATTTTTGATCGCGAACTTCTTGCAGTTATTCGCGCCCTAACAGAATGGCGCCACTACCTGGAAGGCAATCCCCACCTGGTTATTGTTTTTATAGACCACAAGAACCTCCTATATTTCAGAACCGCTCAGAAGTTGACTCGCCAACAGGCCCGATGGCAATTGATTCTATCATGCTATGACATTGAACTTCATCACGTCGCAGGAACTAAACTTGTCGCCCCTGATGCCCTCTCCCGCCGCCCCGACCATGGGTCGGACTCCACAGAAGATAATAACAACGAAACTGTCCTCCCCGACTCCATGTTTGTCCGACTTCTTGACGTTGAACTCATGACCACCCTCGCAAACCCTGACCCCTCTGACCCCGATCCCATCTTCACTGCCGCTTCTGACGCGTTGGATGGCCTTTCCCTACCCCCAATGAAATCCGCCCTTGCGGATTGGACCATTAAAGACGATATCCTTTATTTTAAAGATCATGCCTACATTCGTCCCGCCGGGCGACGTCTTATTCTAGAACGATGTCATGACCACCCCACTGCCGGTCACCCTGGCTGTTTCAAAACTGAAGAACTAGTCAAGCGGGATTTTTGGTGGCCCTCTATGGGTACCTATATCCATAAATACGTCGAAGGCTGCACTCTATGCCAGCAGATGAAATCCGATACTCATCTGACGACCCCCCCCCTTGTTCCTATTCCGTCTGTTGCAGCAGCTCCCTTCACACAGATCTCCGTTGATCTCATCACCGACCTTCCCCCCTGCACCGGCTTTGATTCTGTCATGGTCGTGGTAGACCATGGCCTTACAAAGGGGGTAATTCTTATCCCATGCACTAAAACAATCACCTCCGAGGGAGTTGCCAAGAAATTCTTCAAATATGTCTACTGATGATTTGGCCTACATGAGAAAGTCATCTCTGATCATGGGCCACAATTTGTATCTAAATTCTCATGAGCCCTTGCTAAGCTCTTGAAATATGACATAGCCACATCCACCACTTATCACCCTCAGACTGATGGCCAGACCAAACAACTCAACCAGGAGCTTGAAACGTACCTCCGGATTTACTGTCGAAACCACCCAGAAGATTGGGTAGAACACCTCCCGATGGCAGAATTTGTGCACAACCACCAAAAACACGACTCTCGTAATGTGTCACCATTCTTCTTGATGATGGGATATGAACCACGAGCTCTTCCTCACACACTTCCTGATTCTACTGTTCCCGCAGCAGAAGATAGACTCCGCTCTCTTCAGAAGTCTAGAGAAGAAGCAATCTCTTGCCACAACCTTGCTATGCAGCGAATGGCAGAACGAACTCACGGGCAGAAGT